AGACTAAAACAAAACAATATGTTACCATTAAAATTACTGGCTGAATGAATACAGCCAGGACTTTTTCTTTGATTGTTTGTGATAAATTATGTCATTCCAGCACCCATTTTTATAAAATACAAAACATTAAAATATTAGTAAAATTAGAAAATGAATTAAAACGTATACGTTTTTCAGTTCAATTTAATACTACTGGTTTCCTGTTTGCAAAAAAAAAAATGTAACTTCAAACCCCCTGTCACATTTCAGTACTGGGATGCTTCTATCAGTAAAAGAACTGTGCATATACAAATTTTACATTCAGCTTTTCTGGCTAAAATTTTGTACGCATTTTAATGTCCCCCATGCCACACTATGTATACAACCCATCTCATTCCTCTTGATTCCATCATCCAAATAATAGACAACTGTCTTCTGGGTTGTCCTGGGGGCAGCAAGGACCTCTGAAATGTTGTTAAACGTCTACCAGACCTCACAGCACTACAACCCAGTAGACAGCCGTCTTCATATTTGCTGACATGAAAACCTCAAATCCTTCTTAATCCTAAGATCCACAAATATTTGCGTGAATTTACAGTCATTTCTTATCGTGTACGATGTCAATTCCAGTGTACATACAGAGCACATTGCAAGTTCATAATTTGCAGCTATATAATGATGAACAGAGTGAACACACAAACCGGCTTTCACGACACAAATTCGTAATGTGGGAGTTTATAGGAATTTAAACGCGCATGTTCACGTAGATATGAACACGTCAATAGTTTGGAAAATTACAAGGCAATGTTGATCTATCAAAATAGAGCACGAGAAAAGGGCATGCTGTTTTCCTAGCTTCCCTCCCCACTGTTTGATTGTTACGTCACCGGTAGAAATTCTAGTTTCTGCGATGTTTACACGAATATTGAATAGATCCTCGGAGGTGCAAAGATTTGACAGCACTCTCCCAAGTCATTTCTTTTCTTCAGTACACATACCAAACTCCTTTGTCGTAGAGTACGTTCACGTGTTCAAGAATCATATCTACAACATTATTATTAAAACACTTACTTCTTTAAATTAACTTCTTTTTCATTCCGAGTTACACAGCCCCAATTTGGTCCTGGCATATTTAATCGTAGATGTTTCTTTAATTCTATTCAAACTGGCGGTATAACTACATCATCACGGAATAACACCAAACGTGGACACACAACCATGCCCCTTGCAGAGCTTTGTTTTTCCTAGTGCAAAATTGTTTACGACTGTTTATTATTGAATTTTTGCATACAATTCAATACATTGTTATTCTCCAGAGGTAGTTACTGCCAATTATGTCCCATCACATACAAGAAACACGTTTTAATATAGTTGTAAACGATTAGTAAGTTAGACTTCCTGTGTTACATCACGCTTTCACCACTCTACACAACAGTCGACCTAATGACACAGCAGTACTTACGTGTATTTACGTCACCAATTGAGCCTTGCTTGTAAAGAGAGTACAGTTCAAGAAGTTCGTCTTCATTAGGGGATGTTTTCAGCGTTTTAACGTCTTCAGCCGCCTTGATAAACCTCTGCAAACACAAGAAAGCATAATACCATTACTGGATAAGTACAGTTTATTGACACCGACAGTGTTTAATCTGGGTTTAGCTTCTGTTGGTCCTTCATAAAAGTCCTGTCTCATGCCGAAAAGATTTTCCGTCTCAGAATTACACGTAAATTTCTGGTATTGGCAAGCTAGTCTCGTAGTTTTACTGCCTTCAAAGTGCCGGGATGTTTCGTTACAACAGGACATGGCTACTTCCTTCCACATTTCTCCAGATTCATTATTACGTGTCATATGCCAAAACGATCCCACATTTATTCTAGTTGATAAAGTTATTTTAGTAACCAGTAAACAACTCCGAAGAATTTTAAACACCCGTCTTGACATTGGCCAAAGGGCTTCCTGCGTAAGACAATAAAGGTCAAGTAATTCCAGAATGTTTCGTCTGAACCCGGTCTTGCGGTCAATTATTTAGTACCCACGAACAAGGGGAATGGAATCATTCCACGATGTATGTCATTTACACTTCCCGTTGAAATGAAGCTGTCTTGCTCATCTACTGGTTTTATTAGTTGTTCCGAAAAGAGACGAAAACATTGTACAGTGCATGTATTTTACTTGTCAATTCTGATTTAATCACAAAGATCTACAGCTCATAACATCAGTTTAAAACTAAATCCGGGTACATGTTTCTCCAACTGACAAGTGTTTTTTTTAATTTTAAATGTGGTTGGTTTACCATCAAAAATCTTGCTCAAGCCACGATCGCCCTAGGTGAATATGCTAATGTTCACTCGAGTTACAAAGCCATGAAGTGTTTAGACAACTGAAAGATTCCATACATGAACGTAAAGCACGTGTTATGTGAGACTTGTTTGTTCAGTAAACATTCTTGTGTGGCTTGTGTTCGATATCCAGTAACATAATTTCAGAATACGGCTCCAGAACCCACCGAGCATTGTGTATGTTGTTAGTCACTCGCTGTGTGGTGCAGGATATTTTGAAAAGTCGATTGTATACTCGGCTTATCAATGAACAGCCCACGTTCTCTATGCAACCCTAAGGTTTATCCCCGTTTCACAAAATCCCGCCATCGGACCCTATCCTGAGCCAGCTGCGTTTATCTTATCATATTATTGTTTTAAGGGCAAAATAGATTGCCATTGCATCACAGACATGTTAGTGTGCCTACAAGGCAAATAAGAGAATTGTCTACTTTAACCGTAAACAGTGCACGAAGTTCAAAAACTCAGTTCCTGTCTCAAATAAATGCATCTTCATTACAAAGATAACCTGTTAAGGCTGTTTAAATAAATACAGAGCAGCACGATACATATGAGAATAATTTCTCACGACAAAAGTTCGAAGTGGGAACCTCCCGAATACGAAGCAAAGGTTTTAACTGCAGCATCCTCAGATCCATTTACTTTCCATTTTAATATTATCCCCCACCAACAGATCTCTCCACTTCTGGTTTTCCGACTAAATTTCTGTTGCACTTTTTATCTCTCCCATGCGTGTTGCATGCCCTAGCCATTCTCCATGACGTCACTGTCCTAATATCTGATGGAGAGTACAAATTACAAAGTTCCTCCTTGCTGTGGTGTCTCCAGCCTCCTGATATATGCCATCTTCTAGATCCAGTCTTTTCAGCACCCTATTCTTATATACCCTCAATCTATGTTATTTCCTTAGAGGGAATGAGTACTAGATAACCGACTATTACTGTGCGCAAAAAGTGAAGATTTCTGTCTTCTGGGTTGTTGCGCCGTGTAGTATGGTCGATGTTTACCAACGTTTCAGAGGTCATACTGCCTCCGTCATCAGGGCGATGAGTATGAAGATTTCTGTCTTCTGGGTCGTTGCGCCGTGTAGTATGGTCGATGTTTACCAACGTTTCAGAGGTCATACTGTCTTCGTCATCAGGGCGATAAATGAGCCAATTCGCTCATTGACGAAGGCAGTGTGACCTCTGAAACGTTGGTAAACATCTACCAGACTACACAGCGCAACAACCCAGAAGACAGAAATCTTCATACTCACAGCTGTGAAAACCTCAAATCATACGTGTGCAAAAGTATTTACAAACAAATGCTGATAAGTTCAAGTATTTGTCTTTATATCGTACGCATTGCATTCTTCGTAAAGATGTAAACGTAATTGCAAAAATGTACTTACCTCGTCCAGGGACATTGTCGGAAACCGTCACT